AAAAATAATAATACACAAGTCAACACAACAAAATGAAACAACATAATTAATTAAAGTGTAAAAGATGATAACTATTGAATGTACTATATAGTGTAAAAGGAACAATTATGAATTCAACCGCCAATCAAATATGGAGTCACCAAAAAATGAATCTAATAATGATTTAAAAATGTTAATGTTATCAGCGTTGACGGCATCAGAAGGAAGCCTGTTCCAGTCGTCTACCACACGGTATGAGAAGCAAAATTTACGACAATCTTTATGACATAGTCAGTTTCCAGTTGTGTCCTCTCGTACGATCGTCGGACGAAAATAGTAGCGTTGGACTAGCCTTGACAGAAGCCTCGCCACGTAACATTTTGAACAGCAAAATAAGATCCGCTCTCCGACGACGGTACGCGAGTGAAGGCAGCTTAAGTTTTTTTAATCTGTCAATATAAGGAAGAGACTTACAGGAATTAACCAAACATGTTGCTCTTTTTTAGATTTTTTCAATTTCTAAAATTAAACCAATTTTGTAAGGTTTCCATGCTTGAACACCATATTCCAACTGAGACCTCACCAACGACTTATACAACAAGACAAAAGCTTCTTCTGATAAATTCTTGAAGTTTCTAGCAACAATCCCCAACATGGAGTTAGCTTTATGAACAATTTTCAAGATTTGGCTTTTGTATATAGAGTGTGTATCGGCGGATGGATGTGTATAATAAATCTTCCCCTCTCGTTGTTTTACCGAATTTTTCATGAACTTAAAAAAATTAAAAATTTCTGGAACCCATTAAAATTATCGATTGCAATGCTAATGGAAAGGCTTGATGTATGTCCTGTGTGTGAGTGTGTGTGCGTGTGTGCGTGAATATGTGTGTATGTAAGTGTTTGTGAGTGTATTTGCATGTGTATGTATCTGTATGTGTGTGTGTGTGCGCGTGTATGTGCGGAAATTTGTGTGTGCGTAAAAGTGTGTTTGTATGTGTGTGTGTGCGTGCAAAAGTGTGGCTAAATAATGAGGATGGCGATGAGACCAGACGACGACGATGATGACGACTATGATGATGATGATGACGATGATGATGGTCATCAACATCATCAGAACAGTTCAATGTATGGCCTTCTCTGTCTACTTTGTTTAATCCACATTAAATCTAATTGCAATGCATAATCTGTAGAGAAAAGATATATACCGATACATAACGGTACATAGCGATACATAACGGTACATAGCGATACATAACGGTACATAGCAATACATAACGATATAAACCGATACAACATCTTCTATTGAATGTTGTCATTCCACCATCATTCATGCTAAACTCAACTGATATATGAAAATTTTCGGTCAACTATATAACTTATGGCATTTGTAACAATATTACTGACGCACAGCAAAAGAGTAAATCACACATACACCACAAAAACACACACACCACACACACACACTCACAACTTTCCACAAGCTTGAAATTATCTCAACGATGCCAATAACAACACGTATTAACATGGGCATCAACAAAGGCAAATAAACGAGTGAAAATCACCTAAAAAAGCAACAACAACAACAACAACTTTAAACAAAGACAGGCTGACAACAACAACATCCACATCTGCAATAGCAAACACATCAACAACAGCAGCAGCAAAAGCAGTAACCTCATCAACAGCAACTGCTAAAACAGCTGCACTAGCTACAAAACAACTTACAGTAATAAAAAAGGTGACACGAACAACGACAACAACCAAAACAACCAAAACAACAACAGGAGTGGCAGAAAACAGATGAAACAAACTTTTGTAAGAATTGAAAATTAGACCCAAGAAAGTAATAATGTAGCAACGTTGATGAAATATTCAAGCGGGTTTCCAATCTCCAACTACACGAGATCTTACAACACGTAATAAAAAAATAATTGTTGTTTGTTTGTGGTTTGCTGTTCGCGTGTTGTTCGTTTGTTTTTGTCTGTTTGTTGTTGTAGTATGTTGTTTGTTAGTGGTTTGCATGTTGATTGTTCGTTTGCTTGTTCATTTTTGTCCGTTAACTGTTTGTTTACGTGTTGTTTGTTGGTGTTTGTTTCCCTGCATGTGATTGTTTGTTCCTTGATGTTTGCTTGATTACTTGATTTTTCTGCATGCTGTTGTTTTTTTCTTTTTGTTTGTTGTTTTTTATGTTTTGTAGAATTGTTTTATTTTACATTACTTTGTTGTTGCTGGACGGAAGTGGTTCCTTATGGTAGGGAAGGGATAAAGGGCAAACAGACAAGCAGCCAAAAAATTTTGTTGAGGCCCTCTCTTTCTATCAACATTTCTGGATACCCTGACACTGCAGAGCATAAAATTTTCATCATTATGTTGTTTTGTTTGCAGTTTGTTTTCATTTATTTTTTCGTTTTGTTGCCCCTTTGTTTTGTTGTTCATCCGGTTGAATATCTTGAAATCGTTAATTCATTCATCAGCCAGACATCAAAAAGCTTATGTTGTTGTTTCACTAAATTAGCCCTGCCCAAGTCAATAGGGGTTCTAGGGAAGGAGAGGTGCCAGAATGCAAACCCCCACCCGATCATGAAAGAAAAATATACTGAAAAATCTGTAATACAATGAAACATATTGATACGCCATGATATACGATACGATACGATATATTTTATCTGCTTCAAAAATTAGAAAAGAAGACAGAATGACTATGATCAAGTTATCAGGTATTATTAACTTATTTACTTATAGTTAACTTATTTAGCAGGGCCACCTTACAAATAGTTTTAAACCAAATGAAATTTGAACTAAAAATTTCGTAAAAGAGAAATAATAATGTTCAGGAACTAAAATTTGTTTTACGAATAATCCACTATGTCCTTAAAAGTTAAAAATTAGAATTTTGAATTATGGTTCAGTAAATTGTTCTTCAGTTTGTTTTTAAATGTTGACAAAACTTTAGTACCTAAAACAGAATTCAAATCACAATTAATTATTAAGTTATTCCAAGTCCGTGGTCCATTGCACAAAATATGAAAAAATAAGTATAGTATTATCCACATTAAAATAGTCAGGAAATCAGTAGAGATTAGCGTTTGCATATCTAACAACCAGACGAAAATTTGATAAACTCTGCTTTCAGACTGATCAAACAATGAGGAATGTGTGGTTGGTGGAATAAGAAACAAAAATGTAAGAGTCGTCACCAATTTTTACAATCCGTGAAATTCCGTATCCGCCACTGGCTGGAACATGTTTTTCATTAAAAAAATTTTTACGTACTTTATGAACGTGTTGTTGTTTGTTGCTTGTATTATTAATTCGTTAACGTGTTTTATAGCAGTTTTTGTGCGTGCAATGTGATAGCCATCTACGTGTCCCGCTTGTTTCTCCTTTCTACTTACTCTCTTTCATATATTATTTTATTAGTTTAATTAAAAACCAAAAGTTAAAAAATGTAAACGTCTAATTACGTTCTAACATGGCCATTTTTGTGTGGTTGGTGGTGGAGTTTTTTTTAAGGAGGTTGATATTTTTGTTGTTGTAGTCAATGTTGTTGTTGTTGTTTTTAATGATGTTGCTATTGTAAAAGTTGGAACAGCATGTTGTTGTTGCACGGCGCGCATGTTTTGAAATGTTCTGATGAGGTAATTAAGCATCCTTGGCTTGCTTCCTTGTCTTTTTATACTCTTGTCAGAGGTTGTTTGCTTGTGTTTGCGTTAGCGTTGTTGTTGGTGTGGATGTTGTTGTTGTTGATGTTGTTGTAGTATATGTTTTTGTAGTTATTGTCGTCGTTGATGGTAACGTTGTTGTTGTTTTTGTTATAGTTGGCAAAGTTTCAGTGATGTCAAAGTTTATTTCTGGTACGGTATATTGCACTGTGCCGAATCAGGTAATGTTATTCACACCATGTTCTGCTTTGTCAGAGTATTATTAATGCAAGACAGTGGAGTGATATTAATGTCATGGTGCTGTTGCGTTGTTGTGCTAGGTTGTTGTTGTTGTTGGTGGTGGTGTTGTTGTGTTAGTGTCGTTGCATTACTGTTCATACAATGTCAGCATAAAAATGTATTTGTTGCCTGTTGAAAAATGACGCTACGCTAATGAATATCAATTTGGTTTTGCAATATTTTAGAGTTTAATTTTGACTGAAGTGAATTAATTTTTTTAATGAGTAGTTTAGTTTACAAAAAATTTAGTTGATAACGTTTTAATGTATTTTAAATTTTAGTCATTCTTTCTATAACGTTTACATGTAGTTTTAGTTTAATTGACGTTATTTATGAGGTTATTGAATAAATTTTGATATTTCGCTACTGCTGCTGCCACTCACTTCATCGCTATGGTTCATCTCACGTGAACACAAATAAGAACACGAACTCAAACACACGAACACAAACAGAAACACGAACACAAACACGCACGTAAACGCACTACGCCAACCATATGTTCCCATCCATAGTTTTAAAATTTAGCGTTCAACACTTAAGAGGTAATAATAAATCCAGACCAATTTTAAAGCATACAATTTTTCAATTAAATTTGAAAATAAAAACTTTTCTGTAAAGCTGGTCTGAATGACAATTCAAGAGAGAAAAGGAGATGATTCAGAAGAGAGATAAAAATGACCTAGGTGAGAGAGTGATATGATACACTGGAACATTGCAAAGTATCACAGTATCCAAGATATCTCCATGCAACTGAACCTACAATACAAACAATCTTATTCAAGTATCAGACCAAACAATCTGTTCTGGTTATGGACAAGAGAGTTTTGCATTAAATTAGTGCCGGGCAAATTATTCTGTGATGTTTTTTTTTGAAATGACACTTGTTAGTTGCGCGCGGATGGTCCGTTTCAAATTATTATTCACTTGCTCATCAAACAAACTTCATTAACTGATTTATATATTTCAAATTATCCCAACAAATTATATTATATTCTCAAAGTTTTGAAATAATTTTATTAATTTATTTTGCTTCTGTAAGTGTATGTGTGTATGTTTTGTCTCTTTTGTGTATGTGTGTGCTTACATATACATCGGCCGTGATGTGACCATGTGCAGGGTTTGGTACGTGTGCACGTGTGTGATAGCATGCTGGATTTTGTTCATAATATACTTATCAATCCTGTAGAATTCCACTTCCTCCTCATCAAAATACAAAATCTGAAGAACATTTTAAAAGAATTTTAATTACTTGACGAATAAAAGTGAATTCTTCTCGAGAAGGGATTATCTAAAATTGAGTAGTCCAATCGAGAGGGATGTGATTTAAAGAAAATGGTGAGATGATGATAGGATAAGTAGAGAGGGAAAATGATGATGGAAATATGGAGAGAGGGAAAGATGATGATGGAGAAAAGAGAGGGTATATCTCTAACGATGGTTTTAAAATGATGTGGATGAGTAACGATGATGATTTTATGATAATAACAAGATGATGACGAGATGGATGACGATTAAATTGTAAAAATGAGATGATAATAAAAAATGGTGGTGAAATTGATGATGATGATGATGATGTGATAATTTGAAATGAGGTGGTGTAATAAAAATGATAAAGAAGTTATTAATGATTATAGTACGTTAATTAAATGACGACGACGACGATGATGATGGTAAAATGATATTGATGAGTTGATGATGATGATGAAGGTGATGATGAAAAAGTTGAGGATGAAGATGAGGATGATGAAGATGAAAATGGTAAAGATGATGGTTTTAATGAAGCAAGCCTCTCAAGACATCGTTATCGCTTCAAATAATCATTATCTGCCTCATTAGCGACATCACTGTTGTCGTCGTCGTCGTATTTTTTTGTCGCTGGTTTATTGTCATCTTCATCACCATCATCAACATCATCTTCTTCACCATTGTCGTCACTATCGTCATCATCATCAACATTATCATCATCGTCGTCATCATCATCATCATCATTATCATCATTATTATCACCACTGTTGTTGTCACCACGGTATGATGTTCTCGGATGATTGATGGGTTGGTTGGTTTGTTGATTGATTGGCTGACTGATTGATTGGTTGATTAATTTCTATGTTGCTTGATTGTTTGTTTTAATAGAAATTTAATTGGCTTTTATTTTGTTTTTTTTTCAAAAATATTTTTCAAATTTCTATTTAAATAGTGGTCCTTTAAAACTATTTTCAATAAGTTATTCATAATAATTAATTTGATTAAACATAAAATTTAAAATAATTTAAACTTATTATCATCAATATTTTTATTACCATTATCAATAACGCCATCTTGATGTAAGCAACAATAGCAACAATAATTGATAACATTAACAAGATGAAGTGTTGCTATGATAGTATTATTATTAATTAATTATTAATTACCCTAAATATTTTTGAAAAAATTTATATTCGCAATTAAGAAAAGTTTGAAAATTCAAGTGTAGATTTTGAAATTAAATTAAATTGGTAAGTGCTTTTTTTTATTTTTAAGGATACCAAATTACATTCTATTTACTCATTTTTATAAAAAAATTGTCACCAGATTTTTGAGAATTATAATTTTTTTTTCTTATTAATCTTCTCTTTAGCCACCATTATCATTTTACATTTTATAAATAATTCATTTTCTTAATCCTTCTAATCCACATCAATCTCATCATCAACATCATTGTCATTATTGTCATCGTCATCATATCATAATCACAATTATCACCATCATCATTATCACCAGCGTCGTTATTATCTGATCATTGTAATCTTAATCACAATCATTATTTTCGTTATCACCATGAGCAACCTTGTCATCATCATCATCTTCATCATCATCATCAACAACATATCCATTAACATCATCATCATCACATCATCATCGACGTTATCATCATCGTCGTCGTCACCATCATCATCATCACTTCCACCATCATCCTCATCATAGCAACGTTGAAGTCTTATAGTAAGAGACTTGCAAGCAGGCAAGTAAGCAGAGGCAAGCAATTAATCAGCGCATGCGCAAAGCATCACGTCAAACGGAAAATTGAAATTATCACCAATGAATGCAACCAAACGTCAGATACTGAATGCAGTGTTTGTTTGTTTGTTTGCTTGTTAGCGTCTTTGTATATGTGTATATATATATATATGTTTGTATGTGTATACTTTTGTATGGGTGTATGTGTGTATTAATGTATGTATGCGTAAGTGCTTTTAACTTTGTATATCTCTCTACATACGTATATACCCGTATGGTGACTTGTCTGTTTTTGTTTGTTTGTTTGCTTGTTTGCGTCTTTGTATATGTGTGTATATATATATGCTTGTATGTGTATAACCTTTGTATGGATGTATGTGTGTATTATTGTATGTATGAGCAAGTGCTTTTAATTTTGTATATCTCTCTACATACGTATATACCCGTGTGGTGACTTGTCTGTTTTTGTTTGTTAGTTTATACATCTATGTTTGTTTTTTGTATGCTTTTTGCTCTGATTGCGTGTTTCATATGGATGTGGGAATGTACGTTTGTATGGTTGTCAGTATGTTTGCATATGCTTCTCTGTACCTTTGTTATATAGTTGTATGACGCGATATCACATTATTACACACAACATACGCATGTGATCTACGTAGCATTAAGTATTAACGCATATAAGACGAGTAAATTAATTCGCGACAGTTGCATCACAACTAATTAATGACTGTTGAATTATTTTATATTTCTGTTAGATTGGTTTACTTTATATCATTATTTAGTTTAACTTATTCTATCAAAATATAACGCTAGCAAAAACTAATTGACACTTGTTGGTGCTGATAATGAAACAAACATACAAGGTTATCAGTGTTATTTTAACTTGCAAACAAAGACGCACTGACACACATTTGTTATGTGGTGTGGTGTGGTGTGGTTTCGTGTGGTGTGGGTTGATTCTAATGACCCAACTAGTGAACAAGTCGACAGATGAATAAATGATTAAACAAATAAATTAAAGAACAGATGAATGAATGAACAAATGAACGCATCAACAGATGAACAAAAGGGTAAATTGTTTTCTTGCTTGTCCCCACATGATGATAAAAATTATATAAATATATAATGGATGGAACAAACGTACATACATACATACATACATACATACATACATACATACATACATACATACATACATACATACATACATACATACATACATACATACATACATACATACATACATACATACATACATACATACATACATACATACATACATACATACATACATACATACATACATACATACATACATACATACATACATACATACATACATACATACATACATACATACATACATACATACATACATACATACATACATACATACATACATACATACGGCGGTTTGGCCGCGGCCAGGGCAGCGGACGAGAAAATGAAAAAATATGGGAACGCCCTCTCCTCGATGGAATTCTTGCCAATATGTATCGAGGTTCTCGGCCCGATGGACCCCAATACCCTTAAATTTCTTAAGGCAATATGTAAAATGATCAGCGTCAGATCAGGCGACAGCAGGGAACTGTTTTTCGCAACTAACCACATTTCGTGCTTGTTGCAGCGGTTCCTGCGTGTCTGTGTGCTTGAAAATATCCAACTGAATGCCGACATGTGCAATTAACGACAAATCAAAATGTTAACCCATTTGTTACTTGATGTTTGACGGTTCAGTGTCACTCATCATGTTTTGGTTTTAACATACATACATACATACATACATACATACATACATACATACATACATACATACATACATGCATGCATGCATGCATACATACATACATACATACATGCATGCATGCATACATGCATACATACGTGCAGCAGGTTTTATTGTTTCTCTCGCGGACAATGCATGGAGTCTTGCTTTGTTAGGAATTTATTTGCATTCAACGTTACATATCGACCGTGGCATACACCTGAGTTTATTTTTTCAACAAATTAACTCATCAACCGCCTGGTTGCATGCGTGTGTGTTTGTCTTCTTTGCTACTTCTGCTGTTGTGTTGATGTTGTAATGGATCTGTTGAGATGCTATGTGTTGCAGTGTAATTGATGTGTGTTAAATTTGATTTTTTTGTGAGGTTGCTGTGTGATTGTTGAGCCGTGATCTTTTCTGTTGTGTTGTGTTTTAATGAGTTGGTATGCGTTGTTGTTTTCCCTTTGAGTGATGTGTGTGTAGACTTAGCAAGCATTCTTTGACAATTTTTTACCTTCTTGCTCTTTTTTCTATTTCAATTTTCAGTTTAATTTTATTTTTCTGCTTTCTTTCTTTTTTTCTGTTTCTCACAATTATAAAATTTATTTTTTGAGCGCACTTGTTCAAGTTCAATAAAAATGGGCGAATGCGTTGAATACACGTGTTGGCTATGAACGAGTAATGTATAATATATGCATGCATACATACAAGCACACAGAAACATACAAACATACATACAAACAAACAAACATACATTTACAAACAAACGTTCATACATACGTGCATACAATGATAGTTGTATGTACGTGTTTAAGCAAACGATGTATCGCGTATCTGAGCAAACAAATGGTACTTGCGTGAATGAATGGAGAATGTACGTGCGTCGTGTGAACGCTGTATGTACGTGGAGTGACCTGCATTGGATTCAAAAGTCTTCCTAATGTTTCCACGTTTCAATGAAAGAAGAATAGTAAGTATGGCAGAACATACAAACAAGTCTGAATAATGAATTTGCTACCCAGACAATTTATAAATGCGTTTATAAATAAATTCATAATTTATAAATTCATAAATATATTTAAGTACCGACGTATTTATTCACTCAATACTTCTAATACATGAAATACATAACTATGCATGTGTATATGTGACTGGTGGAATATGCAGGAGAGTTACATTGAGAGAGCAATATGAGACCTAGTCCGCCAATTCAGCCACTTTGGTAGACCTCGCGAGTGAGTAGCTTGAGTGAGTTGTTTGTATGTTGATGCACTTGCTAAAAATTATTTTAAAAGAACATACAAGTTTATAAGTGATGTTATTTTATTTCTAAGTGAACCGGCAACGAGTTTATAAAATGCAATGTTTTCTTTCTGTTGGTTTCTGTTCCACAGAAAAAATTTGTTCTGTATTTTAGTAGTTGTTGCTGTTGTAAGAGAGTTCTTGCAACAAGCATCAGCGGTGGAATTCAACGCTTTGTTGCATTCTATGGAGCCACTTCCATGTTGATCATTCTATTTTTCTATGTAGATCATTCTATCTGACGTTCGAGTCGAGACATTGTACATCATTTCAATGCATTATTATGGTTTGCTTTTGAACTGTTATGAACTGTTCGCTAGACATAGAAACAAATTTTCAGCCATCCTAATTGTTGCTATTCAACTTCCAGTCGTCTCAGTTGTTGGCGTTTGAATTTGGGTCATGCTATCTCAACATTGACTCACAATCACTGCTGCACATGGTGATGCAAACACGTTCTGTCTGCGATGTTCTGCTCGTTCTCGCTGTATGCCAAGACACTTTCCTACAAATGTCATAACTTTCAAGCATTTATTCTGTCCAATCGCCTATGGAAACCTTCCAAAAATTCTCTGTCTATACTTTTCCTTATAGACGCATGTACGTGAGTGTGTATATATATATGTGTGTTTCAGATGTATGTATATGTTTTTGATGTATGCATGTATGTATGTGTTATGTATGTTTTAGATGTATGTGTATACATACAAATATACATGTAAAAAATGATAACGGTTACAAAACAACTGACGTTGGAAAACTTTGGTAGCAGTGATAACAAGAATTGAAATGCAAAGTCGTTGGTTACAAGGTCATGTTGTGAAGTGTAATAACTTGCGTTGCACACTGTTTCAATTTATCAATGTTTCTCCTCAACAGACACTATTCTCAATTTTTCAGTGACAGCATTAAATTCAAGACAAACGCGCAAACTCATCAAAACACACTTACGTGCACAAATGTACACCTACACACACACACACACACACGAACAAATATGCAAACACACACACACTCACACATGAACAAATATGCAAACACACACACATAACTACATGAACTGATACATTCATTGGCAGCAAAAAGCGCACGCACAAACAAACGAACGAACGCTCGTTAAAGAGGCGATGAATTCATTCATAGAGACGTATGCACGAATATAGAAAATTCCCTTGTAGGCCGCATTGCACTATGCATATTACGCTTCATTGGTTTGTTGACGTTGTTGAATGTCTTGCTGATGTTGTTGAATGTCTTGTTGATGTTGTTGAATGTTTTGTTAATATTGTTGAATGTTTTGTTGATGCTTTTGAAAGTTTTGTTGATGTCAGCACAAAAATTTGCTGTGGGAAGCTTAAATTTGTGAAAGAATGGTGACGACCTTTTATTTTGCTTTTCCCACAATTTTCAATAATTTTTAATAAGCATCAGCCTGCAAACTAAAGACAGTTTGCAGGCTGATGCTTATTTTTTTGAAAAAATTGACATGGCTGATGTTTGTGTGTGAGTAAAAATTGCAAATGATGCTTCAAGAAACTATGCATAAATATATCACATATATCACAATTTATACCACAAAAACAACAACATCAACATGTTGAATTGATGTCTTGTTGTTGTTGTTGTTACTAAAGCTGCTGCAGTAACACTGTTGGATGTCGTGGTAGTCGAGTATTGTGAACGATTATTTATGGTGTTGTCTACGATGATCTGTTGATTGACTGAAGCAGGTCAAATAAAAAAGTTGTTGTTGTTAATGTGGTTGTTGTTGTTAATTTTGTTGGTGCTGTTGTTGTTGATGATGCTAGCGTTGTTTGTGTCAACTTAAACCAAGAATTTATTATGTTGAAACAACACGGCATCGTTGTTTTTGTTGTTTTTGATGATGTTGTTGTTGTGGTTGATGTTGTGGTTGTGGTTGTTACTGTTGTTGTATGATTTTTAAATTGTTGGCAGAGCAGAAATGACGCAAAATAATTTTATCTTGCAGTAGCTGTCATGCATTTTGACAGTAAATTATTTTTGCTGATGTTTTTTATTTATTTTGAGGATGTAACTCTGGCATTGTCGTTGCTTGTTCTGGCCGATGTTATGGTGTTTACGTTATTACATTTACTACGCTGTTCTACAGTTTTACTACCATTTATTACCTTTTGAACATTTACTTTTTCTGCTTACAAGCACTTTTAAAAATATTGCAGTATTATCATTTATTTTGTAATTGTTGTTGTTGCTTGTTTGTTCTTCTTACTCTGCATTGTTTTTAATCTAATGCTCTAGTTGTTTTATTGCTGTTGTTGCGTGCAAAAAATCAGCCATGCAGGTTGTTCCTTTGTTAACTCTGCTTACTTCGGTTCTTTTATTACATAAATTATCTCGTTTTGTTTTGATTCGTCGGTGAGCAGTCTTCTGGCGGACAGTAAACTTCTTTCTGTTTCGCTGGTTTGTGGTGTGTATGCTTGCCTGTCTGCCTGCTCGGGAAGGTAATAAAATAATTGTCTTCCTTTATTTGTCTATCTGTCCGATTGCAATGCATTCCGTTGTTTTGCAAATTTTGTCTTTGTTGATTTGTTGTTGGTGTTGTGTTGTTGTAGTTTTGTTTTGTTGCTTGATATTTGGTTTTTTGATGCTCTGAATAAATTATACATACAATTGCAAAATAAAAAAGTATTTAATACATTGATTCTGTGCGAGAGAAATTTGTTGCAAATGTTTGCGATGTGTTGTTTGATGTGGTTGTGCTCTTTTTGAATGGCGTTCAATTTGCTGTTAGTTGTGTTGCTATGTGGCGACATTCTGTTATCTTATTTTTTTACGTTGAATGTTCAGTGTTCACGTTGAGTGTTGATGATGTGAAAACAATAAGATAATATTGATATTTGTAGGAGTGTTGTTGCCATTGCTTGTCGTTGTTGTTGTGACTAACTCTCGTTGATAAGTTGTTGGATTGGTTTGCTTTGTTTGTTTGTTCTTTCGTTTGTTCGTTCGTGCTTTTGTTTGTATGTTTGTTTAGCAAAATCATTTCCGCTGTTTCAACTTGTAAATATTTGATTAATGTTTATCTGTAGTTTGAAAATTTTTATTGAATAGCACTCATTCAAATTTTGAAAATAACAGATCATCATTCACAATTTTACATATAGATTTTTAAAATAAATTAAAGTAAAATTTTTCTTAAGATAAAATTATTCGACTCGTTGAATTGGTCAAAATAGGTTGATATGTTGTGTTGCATATGTCACAAGTTCATACGTGATGTGTTGTAGATAAGAAGTTGTGTGCTGGTTGGTTGCACTGATGTTTGTGTTGTCGTTGTCGTTGTTTAGATTGTTCAATGAGCAATGTAATGTTATGCGATGCGATGTAAATTCAAATTAATCTTGATGTTATGTGATGTGATCATGGTGTCATGTGATGTGATCTTGACGTCACGTGACGTGATGTTGATGTAAGGAAGCCATGTTTAACCTGTTTCTCTACTTCCTGATCCGTTCGTTTAATTGAACTTTCTTCATAAAATAAATAAACAGAAGATTAAATGAAGAAATGAATAAAATGCATCTGAATGCGGTTCCTTCATGTCAGCTTCCTTGACATTAATGCATCACATCAAAACATACTGCATGCACATATGTATATATATATAATATATATATATATATATATATATTGTTGTGTATGTTCTGTGTGTGTGTGCGCGTATATACATTTATTTATGTATATAACTCCGGATGCTTTTTCTATACGTAGATACCTTAAACTTTTAAACATAAATTTATAAAATTGTATAAATTTAAAAAAATATATATTTATATTTTTCATACCTCTTTATTATATATATTATAACATATACTTAATTATATATATATATATATATATATATATATATATATATTATTCATGTTTACGAAATATGTGTACCTTATGTATACATACATACATACATTACATACATACATACATTACATATGCATAGATTATAAAAACATATAGCGATATATGACTAAGTGTTGCTTTTTTATTAGGACCAGGAACGTATTTTATTTAGCCATCAAAAATAAACATAGACAGCAAAAACATAAAATAAAATAAAAAGAAATAAAATGAAATCTATATCATACTTCTGAAATTTCAAAGTTCGTTAAAAACATTTAACCGTCCGGAAAACCATTTGAAACGAAACTAGAACAACAATTAAACCAAAGCAAAAGTAAGATGAACTGGCTTCAATCTGTTTACCAAACTTATTTAGAAAAATTGAAAATAATAATGATGATAATCTATATAAAAAATATCATATAGAAATGATTACAAAATTAAAAGTATGTTTTAGATTTAGACTCATGTGTACTTAAACACTCTTTTGACCAGTTTTAAACTAAAAACAAAAACTGAAGATGAAAATAAAGCAGTACGAGGGACAATACAATTGTATAATGGAGTATGCTGAGTTGTTATTTTGCAATATTCAGAAGATTTAATTAAATATGAATTAAACATAACAAATTTTTTTTAACTATAACAACTTCTTAACTAACTATAAATAACTGTAATAGTTAGTTAAGAATGTTTTAGATTTAGACCCATGTATAGGTATACATAAGCACTCCCATGCCTTCATCACAATACAATCACATGTATGCGTATAAATATAATAGGTTATTAAATGTAACATAAAATAGAGATACAAATTAAAATTAGTTTTATGAAGAAAGCAAATTTAGACGAACAAAAGTGATTAAGGATTTTTTTAAATGAAGATAAGCTAGATAGCAATTACAGTTCATATGGTAACAATAGCCATAATCTGACTATATGGACGAAGATCGAATGTACAAGGTATATAGTTCTAAAAGGAAGAATATAAAACTCACATGCATGTCTTACAATTTGTAAAAAATTGAAATACTTCATTAATTTATTTAGAATTATTATTTTATACAAAAACATTAATATCCGAAATGTGCAGAGGAAAAACTTTAGAAATTTTGAGACAAGAAGGAAATATACTTTAGTGAAAAGAAAGATTAATAAAATGAGTTAAGGGTTTTAGTATATTAGCAATAGTTTGTTTGATCAAAAAATTTGAAAAACCATCGTGAGCCAAAATGATGGAGTTTTTCAAAGCGAATACTATTCTTGAGACTTCAGATTCACCTACATCTATAAAAGAAAATGGGAGAAAAAAAATGTTTAGAAAAGTAAAAAGGGGAATTACGACAGGAGTTTTTAGGCTTAGAAAAAGAACAAAAGTATTTATCGAATGTGTTGCTTATACCACTTTTACTGTCAACAACTTCATTATTAACAGCTAAGCAATTTCGGTATTTATGACTGATGTTTTTGTTCATGGGGTTATTGATGACTTTCCAAGTTCGTTTAATATTGTTTTTATTTTTTCCAATTGATTGGCAATATAACCTTTTTCAGCCAAACGTTTCAAACAAGTGAAGAAATTTTTGTATTTAGTGTAGAGAAATTTGTTATCAATAGAAGGATTTTAAAAAAAAAAAGAATACAATTTATTTTTATGATTAGACAAAATTAAGAGACTATCAGTGAACCAAGGTTTGTTTGTGTGTACAAAAATGAAACCAAGTAACATCGTTTTCTGATAATTTTTTAGTTTCCAATACTTTAAATAACTTTAAAAAAGTTCAGTCGGTTGAAGTGCCATATTACGCATGGTTGTTATTGCAAGATGACCTTGTTATAATACTAACTGTCCAAGACTAAGAAAAAATAAGATGTGGTGTTTGTGCGTACAAAGGAGCAGGTTGGCTGGATTTTGCGCTTGCAAAGTTTTTGTGACGCCCAGTTTTTGTGAAACAATTTTCATTTGCCACTAGTTAACAACATACTTTATTGTGGTCATATGATGTCAAATGAATGATGGTTTTACTTTAAACTTTAAATCAAGTTTAATTGTATGAGTTATCCTCTTCAAATCATCTCCAAACTTTAACATATTTATCTACAATAGAATTAAACGGACCTTCAAATAAGCCAGGAGTGTTTTATTATTTTTTGCACGCTCAATTTCTGAAGACTTCCTATGCTGTATGGACAGTTAGTTGCTGGTTGCTAATAAATCAGCAATGTGTAAAAGTGTGTGTGTGTATGTGTGTTTGTGCGTTTTTGTATATGCATCCGTCGGTTTGTGTGTGTGTGTCTTTGTGTGTGTGATGTGTGTCGTGTGTGTGTATGGGGTGTGTGACTGCAATTTGAAAAAGTACAAAAAGTATAACATTTTTTTTTTAATTTTTTTTGTTATATTTAAAATTTTTAATCACAATTCATCAATTAATTTTTTCAATTTTTTGTGTTTCTTTTCACTTTTCAACTTTTAAATATTCACGTGTATGAATGTTTAATCCATTGGACGGTTGGAGAAATTAAATTAAAATTTTAGGCAGAAATTCATTTGAAATAACAAAACAATCCAAACGACAAAACCGTTCAAACAACAAAACATTGGATAACAAAATTTTGAAAAAAAAATTTTTTTGAAAAATTTTGTATAAAACTTCACATTATATTTAAACTTCGGCAAAGTCAGCTTAGCTGGCATTAAAAATGTACTAAAAAAAATATGTAAAAAAATTAAATAATTAAATAAAAAATGATGTTGAAAAATTATTTATGGACGTGGTGTATTTCAATATGAATGCCAAAAAAACAGCGTACGTGCACATAGACTATTGCTGCTGAAAGGTTTTTGTTGTATTTGTTCTAATGTAAAAAAAATATAAACACATGCAACAGTAGCATATAACATTAACATTTTATGTTAGTAACAAATGTAGTATAACTTAATGCAACTCAATATGATACGATTTTGTTAACACATTGCGATGATGAAAATGATGATGATGATGGTGAAAATGATGATGATGGCGATAAGAAATGGTCTATCTAGTGCTGTAATTAAATATAAATGTAATGTTATGTCATGTCATATGATGAAACAGCAATGCAATGTTATATGATATGACAAAAAGTGATATTTAATGTCAAGCTGTATAGCCATATATAATTTGATGCCACGTGAAAGAATGTAATGTAAAGATATATAGATTGTGACGTCATGCGATTGTCAAACATGTTGGAAGAACGTTTTGTTAAATGTGTTAGCGATTCTAAGTATATGCATGCACATCATGTTCAATAAATGTTGTTTAATGTTATTTGCAGTAACAAAAAATAACCGAACCACAAATAACCACAAAAACAACACAACAACAAAAAACACCAAGAAACATCACAACAACAACACAACAACAATAACAACAGCATAACAATTACACAACAACAACACAACAACAACACGTCACGTCACACCACAACAACAAAATAAAACAACAACAACAACAACGCCACATTACCACAACAACAACAACACAGCAACACAACAACAACAACAGTAACTCACCCCAAACATGGTCTTCTGTTCGTGAAGAGCCTTCTGGGCAGCCAATGCACTCTCCCGCTGGCAATACGTGAGGAACGCGCAACCTTTCAACAGACACACATTGGCAGGTTTAATAATGTTTACATTGTTTATATTGTTTACAGATGTTTATAAATGTTTACAATGTTTACAGACGTTCTCAATGTTTACAGATGTTTATAAATATTTACAATGTTATAGACGTTTGTAATGTTTGAAACAATTTTACCTTACAATACGAAGAATACTCAGATGTTAAACTTTGTAATTTTCATAAAAAAAAACAAATTATTATACTGATTTTCAGTTGACAATTAAATTTTTTTAATTTGTGCTATTTATGGTTAAAATAACTCTGTTTAATGATGAAATATGTTATAATGTATTATAATGTAATGGGAATAACTAAAAATCTCAATGGCAGATGAATAACCAACAATAACAGATAATATAATCAATGTAACAAACAGTTTACAAAAGGACTCAAAAAATAACAATCACTAAAAATAATTTATTAAGAGCGATCGACACAAGATGCTTTAACGTAAGCGACGATTGCGAAAGTGGGTTGGGATGGATGCGAAAGTGGGTTGGGATGGATGCGAAAGTGGGACGGGATGGATGCGAAAGTAGGATGGGATGAATACGAAAGTGAGATGGGATGGATGCGAAAGTGAAATGGGATGGATGACCTTTATGCAGTCCAGTCTGCCTGTCCTTGAGAACGGTGAACTCGTAAATTTGACCGAACTCTTCGAAGATGGGTCTTAAATCTGGCTCGAGGAGATTTCTTGGAATCTGACCGACGAATAATTTGATGGCATCTGCATCCTTCATTGGAACCGATAATGATGATGACGTTGACGACGACGAAGATGAGGTTGATGATGATGATGATGGTGGCGTTTTTGTTGACGACGACATGTTCTGATGTGCATTGTTGTAAGCAGATGAGGATGAGTAAGATGATGATGAGGAGGAGGAGGTCACTGAGAATGATAACTGTTGTTGTTGAGAGTGGTAGTGATGGTTGGATTGGTTCATCACCATGGTAACGTTTGGAGAATTGAGGTAGCTCGGTAGAAGCGGTTGATGGTGGCGTGGGTTGCAATTGGCTGCTGGGAACGGTGACGTTGATGACACGTGACCGTTGTTATGCAGCAAGCCTCCCGACGTCACAAGCAGACGATTTGATGGCGGCAACGCATTGGCGTGTTGCATCCTGTTTTGTGTGGTTGTGTTGTGGCGGTCCTTGTGTATGGTTGTGTGGAGGTGTGTGTGTGTGTGTTTACGTGTGTGTGTGGCTAGGTTGCAGTAAGAATTGTGTCGTTGGTTGAGCTACGTTAAGAAGTGTTTGGCGGTCTGGTTGTTTAGGTGTATGTATTACGGTGTTGATGTTTTTATGTGGTCGACTGTGTGTGTTTGACTTGATGATCACGTAGTTACTGTTTTGTGGTGTATTGGCATTTGAATATTTATGAGGGGACGTGTCATAATTAAATTTATGGCTTCATTCCGCTCAAAACATTAAGTTCATAGTTACGTATTATGCAACTTTTAGCAACTTTTATCCTAAATAAAAATTTCTAGCAGTAATTCTCTACACGTTTGCCATATAAATATTATGCTATTTATGCCCTAAAAGTATTTTTGTTCTAATTTATAATTGAATTGAATTATTTTTATTAAAATTATTTTTTTATATCTACGTTTATAATTTTGAATTTCGAGTTTTTTGAAACAAGAGTAATTTTAATCGTAATAATTGTTGGCAATAGACTAGGCCATTATTTTAAATTTCCATTTACATTGACTCACTCAAAAAAGTTTCGTTGGTGACCTAATGTTTATGTTTATGCACATGATGAGAAGCTATTTGATTGTAAAAAGTTGTTAAATGTGTATTATAGGCACGTCGCATACCATAACGATTTTGTATGATTATTCAAACAAAAAACAATAAAACGTGAAATTCAACCACTTGCAAAAATATAACTCAATAAAATTTGATGTTTAAATTTTAATGTGTGGTCAAATAGGAAAAGTTTGAATACAAACCTATTCTATCGAATGTGATACTTAATCTAAATTAAATAATTAAAATCAGACTTACATCAGAAGTTATCAGGTGAGCTGGTGTGTTGTTAAACTCTCAACAAACTTGTTCTCTATTTGGTATTTAATGTTTAATCTCTATTGTTTAATGTTTATATTTTTTCTCAGCGAGGTATCAGACCAACCGACAGAAGTTAGTTCTTGAATTTATTCAAAAGTTAAAGACGACACTTTAAAATTAAATTTGCAACATACAACGTCCGTAAATTTAGAATAAGTTTAATTGTTACATTCGCTGAAATAATTGCTAAATAGTAAATGTGATGGCTGATGACAAAGTAGGTACACGAATAAGATTCTTACAACGTACTCAACCAGCCGACTAAACTAACTAACTCCCTGTCATCGTCGAAGAAAGAGAAAAAGATGATGAGGAGGAGGAAGAGAAAGACGAGGAAGATGAGGAAGATGAGGAGGAAGTGACGTGAATGTGTTTGTTCCTTCTCCAATGCAGCATGACACTCGCTTGCCTGCATAACCACTGCTATATATATTTCTACGTATTATGTATTTTTTCTTCTACGGACCACAATCAACAACGCATAAATAACAATTTCAAATATTTTTAAATAAAGAATTACTTCCAAATATCAACAATAGCTGTTTATAAGTGCAGTATATAATACTAAATATCCATCTACTGTCGGTGTGCACGTGTAAGCGTGTGTGCTTGTGTGTGTGCGCGCAAACATGCAGGCAGAGTGCAGCCCGGCAAATAATAAGTATGAATGAATTTTTAATTGAATTTATATCTAATTACTTGCGAAATTGTACAAATATTCAAAGTTCGCTAACGTACGTTGATGTAACTTGTATCATTTTTTTTATCAACACTGTTTTTAAAATTATTAAACTGAGTTTGTTACAAATTTTTTACTTTTTTTGGGGTAATTATAATTTTCCTTTCATTCCCAACAATTCCTAAAATGCACATTCCTTATCTTTTTAACGTCATCCATCCCGGCGCTTCATCCCCTCTTTATTCCATTCCATACTTTTCACATTTCTCGAAATTTAAAAAAACAAGTAGAAAGCATGTTCTTGATAATTCCGAATAACAAAGATAAAAGTGTTTAATTAATTTATAAAATAAAATTTTAATTTGTTAAAAATTATTTTATTTGTTTTTCAATATTGAATAAGTGAAGAAGTATACACGCTTCAGACACAATTTCTTCGGTAAATTTGTTCTGAATGCAAAATAATCAAAGTCGACTGTACTATATTCCAGAAATTATGAATTGTCATGAATGACTGATTATCAACCATACTTAAAAATATAATTTATGATGTAACAACAATTACTTAAAACAACAACAAAACTGACAACAACTTTACCATAAAAACGAAGCGAACACAATTTGATCAAAAAAGTGCGTTAGTATTTGAGCAGTTGATTGATAAACATCATTTTACCCAACAGTTTTATATTATATTTTACCTTTTCCTATATTATGTTTATAATTTTAATATATTGACATTTCTTTGACTATAAAAAACATTAAAACAATGGCATAATAAAAAATTATCTGCTGTGTTAATTAATTTTCCAACAAAATCAAATCATCAAGTTTTGTTGAACGTGAATAAAACTTCAGCGACACGTTGGATATGAATCAGTTTTGTGATTATTATTTCAATGCTCAAGATTAGCCTACCATTTGCCAATATTTTAAAAAATTACGCAACAACCTAAACAAAACATCAACAAATGTTACCGCAGCAACAACAACAATCATTACAGCAACAAAATGTCAGTGCAACAATAAATGTTGCAGCAACAAATATTTGTTGCTGCAGCAACAAATGTTACAGCAACAGCCACGGCCAATTGCAACGATAGCAGCGACAACTTCGAAGAAAAACTCGAACGTTAAATGATGGATGGCATTATAACTGTTCATGAATATAGCCGGCGTTTCAAAATATTATAAATGTGTTTTAGAAATTGTTATCAATTTTGTTCTGCGATTATTACAGCTGTCATCGTCAATCCTCCTGCCTGACGCCGCCACCATTGCTGCTGCTACTGCTGTTGAAGCTGCTGTTGAAGCTGCTGTTGAAGCTACGACTCCTTTCCTTCTTTCATTTTTATTTTTTCGCAAATTATTTTTGCTAAGGTGTTTCACTTCAACTTTTTTCTAAAGATAAAAGTAGTTGTAGTAATTATGAAAGTGATAAGGATAATAACTTTTCCAACGTGAATGTTAACAGTGGATCTGTAAAATAAAATAAAAATAAAACTTTTATTATTACAATTTGAAACAGCGACTTAGATATTTTCCCCGTGAAGATGTAGTCTGCTGCAAACAAATTTCAGTTGCGTGTCAGTTAAATCCATGAAATGTTCAAAATGGAAACGTTCAAGTAGTCTTGCGCATTCCTCGTTCACTCATTTTAAAATGTCTATTCATCCGAAATGTGATAGATACATTTGATGACTTGATGCATTTGTATAATTTTTTTGTTTTTTTAATTTTGAACGTGTTAGTATTTTTAAATCAGTATGCTATCACATTGGTGTTAAATAGAATTGGATGTCTCAAACTGCTGTGTGTAGACAGAAACTGAGAGAGAGGAAGGATTATATCTGAAATGTGATATGAACAAAACTTGCAAGAGAAAAAAATTGTCAGAAGCCTAAGAACCTGCGGTGAATGAAAAGAAGAAGGAAATATGATGGCGTGTAAGCGATTGCTGCAATTATGAACATTAGTTGACAGTTAAATTGCTCCTGGCTTGATAACTCCATCCCTCACTTTCTCACTCTTTCTCCCACTTTCTTCTCTATTATCTTCTTTTTTGTATTCTCTCACCAACCTCAATAGTGTTGTTGTTGTTGCTACTGTTGATGTTTTTGCTGTCATCGTCGTCGTCATTGTTGTTGTTGTTTTCATTTTGAGTCTCGCTGAATTATCGAATTATTTCATTTTCAAAATAATTCAACTTAAAAAAGGTTTTGATCGTTCAAATTCAATAAAACAAAGTTTAATTGTTTTTTGATTCATCATTTTCATTCGTCTTCATTTTAAATTCTCCTCAGTTTTGAAGTTTGGCTTTCTATGAGTGAATTCTGAAAGTTACTTGATTCATTTTTATAAATATTTATTAAATCTTTAAATGCACCAACGCACACTCATATGTTAAGATAAAAATTTATAACTATAAATATATATTTTTTTATGGTAAGTTTGTAAGGAATAAGTTGAAAAGAACATGTGAACATTTATTTGACAAAATATTTGTGAAAAAAAGAGTTAGAAGATAAAATTTTTTAAAAATTTACAATTTTCTTTTGTCGCTTCATTTTTAGTGCGCCTTGCTTATATTAATTATACGTCTGTAATACGACGTAAGCAGGAATGAAATGATTGATTGACTGCAAGTTGAGAATGAAAATGCTGTAATTACAGAATTCTTTTATGAGGCGCTCTACTGTTGTTATTGTGTGTGTGTGTGTGTGTGTGTATGTGTGATTTTGTGTGTATGTGTGTGTGTGTGAGATTGTGTGTGTATGTGTGTGTGTGTGTCTATGTGTGTGTGTGTGTGTGTCTTTGTTTGTGTGTGTATGATATAATGTTTATTTCGCATTCATTTTCAATAAATTAAACTTAGTGACGTCTGACGTGGTATGATTTTGTTTAGCTAAAATTGATATTCTGACAAATAAAGTGCATAACATTATGGCTTAATTGGCCTTTCAAAGGTTTTTAAGGCATACA